GCGGACGAGAGAGCCCGCTCCTCCGCGACGTCCTCCGTGCCAAACGCAAGTTGCCCGACTCGTTCCCTCTCGCCCTCCTCCGCTGATCCCCTCGTCTTCTAGCAGTCGAGCACGGGGTCCGACTGCGGAGCGGACCGACCCCGAAGTTGGATGTTCCGTCGGATCTGCGAAGGGAGGCGCAGCATGCTCCATGGAGCATGCGGCGCACTTTTCGTCGACTTGACGAACACCCAGGCCCCCGACGTCGATATATTGCTTCAGGGCGCGACCCTCGGACGTGTGGACCCCTTCCTTGGGACCCGTTTCTCATCCTGCGGTCTTCCCCAATCAGCGCTTGCACTGAAGGGGTCCTATAGCGGAAATTCCCCAATCAGTGCTTGCACGAAAGGGGTCCTAATTGAAAGATTTGGCGAAAGTTTCCCGCAGATTCTGGTGGCCGGCTGTGTTCCTGGGTTCCCGGTTCCCAGTTCCCGGGTTCCTGTTCCGATTTCGGTGGATTCCAGGTTCCCGGGTTCCTGGGTTTTTGGTCGATCTTCTTATCGATCTCTTCCTATCGATCCCACGACTCATCAAACCATCCACTGATTGGGTTTTTTCTGTGGTGTAATCGTTTTTTAAGGCTCCCGAGGCCCGGCGAGGGCCCCTGGAGGCCGAAACTAGCAGAAAAAGCCTCCCGCCGGGATTTTTTCCACAGCGCGAGACGGTCTGGGAAAAGATCAAGTTTGGGGCAAAGCAAGTACGTAGCCGATCCGCACGGCAAGGATGGGCAACCTTTCCAAGGGTACCCTTGCATCCTTCCTTCCTCGGTCCACCCCTGGCCACTCTCGTTGGCCGCGCCCCGCTCGAAAAGAGTGTCGCATGGGGCTTCCAAGGCCCTGGCCTCCCTATGTCGCGCATCCTTACTTTTCCCAGGTTGACTGTGGTCAATCCCCCTGCTCGGCGCAGAGGCCCCTGCCCGCGCCGCGCCTCCGGCGGCGCCGCCAGGAGCCGCCTGGAGCCCATCGCCCCCGGGCGCCGCCGGCTCGGCCGCGGTGGTCGCCGCGTGCGCGGCGCGTCGCTGCGCGCCGCCGGCGGTGCTCAGGGCCGGAGGCCCAGAAGGCAGCACCAACACTCGGGCGCGGTCCCAGAGGCCCGACGCTACCCAACAGAAATCACGAGGGAAAGAAACACACAGACACAATTAATCGTCGATTCCACAGAAAATATTGGAAAATATGGGAATTGGGCGGGAAGACAAAACCCCGAAAATATTGGAAAATATGGGGAATCCTTTTATTTGTGTGCATTTATTTGTGTATCTTCGGGCCCCTTGGAAAAATTGGAGGGGGCGGTCTTCGGCACAGGGGCCCTCCCGAGCAGGGCTTCCCACCCCCTGTCGCTCCCCCCCTTCGCGCCCTGGTTGGCGACAGACGGCCCTGCGCGCCTGCCCCCGGGAGCGACATGGCGGAGCCCGCGGCGAAGAAGGCGAAGACGGGCGAGGCGCCGCGGTCCCCCTCCCGGCGTCCTCGCTCGTGCGCGCGCGCCGCGGGGAGGCACCGCGGCGGAGGGGGCCTCGGCCATGCTCGGCCCCAAGGGGCGGCAGGGCTCTCGGCCAGGTTCGGCCCCTGCGATCCGACGCTCCCAAGAATTTTGAGCAGGCGGTTTTGGGCAGTTTTTGGCCTCGGGGGGCCCTCGCCTGGCCTCGGGAGCGTCAGAAGACGATTCAGGACGAACAGCTGGCACTATGGGGAAGTGGTCCGGACCTCCCTGGGGCCCAAGCAGCATAACATATTGGAGTGGCCAGGTGTCCTGGGGGGGCCGAGGGCTGGAGGCCCAGATGTCAGCACCAACATTCAGGCACGGTCGCTGGGATGCAACTACTGGGAGGATAAATGCTGTGTCGGCGCGGGTTTTGCCGCGGTCGATGATAGGCGTAATGTGGGCTGTAGTGCGGCCTAATTCGCCTTCCTTCCAGTCTAATGCGGCTTCATCCGGCTTAACTCTTGGGTTAAACCCAGCCTAGTCCTGTGAAATAACACCTCAATCGGGTTGAATCGCTCTTATTGGTTCTAGCGAAAACCCCCACGAGTTGCCTCCATCCTGTCGGACCGAGGTATCGGATCGAGGTGGGTTCGGGGAGGGTGCCCTAATGATCTTCGTGCTTGTCGTATGTTTTTGTGCATCCTGGGGGGGTACCCTCCCCTCGGTGATCTTATATGGTTTGGGGTATTTCGGCCAGCGGAGGCCCTCATGCTCTTGAAGGATGCTCTTCTGTTCTAGATCCGACCGTACCGATACAGACGCAAATAATCGTCGACTCCAATGAAAATATAGGAAAATATGGGAAGTAGGGGGGAATCTATACAAAATTCAGAGAATATTGAAACAGATGGAGAATGCTGGAACTTGTATTCACTCTTTTGTGTCGCCCTGGGCGCCTTCGAACTCCCGCGTTCCCAAGACACAAGCCAGGCTCGGCGGCGGAATCCGATCCCCCTACCCCCAGAGGAGAACAAGGTATACCGCGGGGGCCTCCTGGAAGGCCCTCGTCGCTACCGCTGAATCCGCTTCGAAGTCCTGGTCTGAACACACCCTGGGAGAGGTCCAGGGAGTGGTGGTATTGGTATCGCTTTGACTGCACGTAAGGGTGACCTTTCGCCAGAGTGACCTTCGGTGCGGGCCCAGTGGGGTCCCCCGATCGTTGAGTGCGAAGCAGTAGCAGCGGCCTGCGCGCCCAGGTTTGGCCACCCCGCGCCGCCCCGATGAGCCGCGCACCCACGGTCACTCCTCGCCCGGGGTCGCTCTTACGTGGAGCCGACCTTTTGGTGCCCCCGAGCACCAGTATTGCCAAGCGTCTGAGATTGCCAATCGCCTGGAAGAGGCCCTCTCGGGGAGAGCACAGCCTATGCTTCAGTCGGGCCTGCCCCTCTCCAGGGGGAATATTCCCAAATAGTAAAAAAATCGTCAGGGGCCGACTTCTTGACCCTTTCTGATGACTTTCTGGAGCACTATTTGCGCAGTTCTATCCTTCGTCCAAGATCCGCCTGTAGGGGGACAGGCCCGACCGAACAGCAGCATCGCCAAGCGTCTGAGATTGCCAGGCGCCCGGAGGAGGCCTTCGCGGGGCGAGCACGGCCTGTGCCGAGGCGCCGCGGCGCCTGGCGTGCCCCCCCCTCCGCCGCCCCGCGCCCGGCCCGCGCCCCTGGCCGACCGGGGGTGCATCAGGGGCGGCAAAGAGGGGGGTGATGACTAGGGGGGGGGATATCATGGCGGGGACCATGATATTTCCCCAGATCTCATGGCGCCTCTTCTTATTTCATCACGTCCCTGGCCCCCCCGCTGGGCCGCGCGCATGCCGCCGGTCATGATTTGCACCCCCGCCTCTTGGACACCCCCCTCTTGGCCGCTCCCGAGTGCCCGCCTGCCCGCCTGCCTGCCAAGCGTCTGGTGTCAAATTGGGCCCGTCCCTCTGCAGGGGGAATCTCAAAAAACAATTACAACACAGTCTGGGGACGATCTGTCTTGTTGCATGTTTGGATTTTGTTGGAATATTCTAGGGGCCTTCTCTTTCGTCAAAAAATCCCCCCAGAAGGGGGATACGCCCGACGTAAGTCTGGTGTTGCCTGTCGTCGCAGTCGGTGGGCTCCGCTGCCGGCATCGGGCCGCCAGTGGCCTGTTGGGGGGCGTGTGCGGGGGGGGGGTGGGGCGATGAATTCTGGGGGGGGGGCGACAGGTGCCCTTTGCGGGCCCCAAAGGCTCCCCTCTGGGGCCTTCCCCGTTTCGGCAGCCCTGGGGCCCGGGGAGGAGGAGGAGGCGGAGGCGGAGGCGGAGGAGGCGGAGGAGGCGGAGGCGGAGGCGGAGGCGGAGGAGGAGGAGGAGGAGGAGGAGGAGGAGGAGGAGGAGGAGGAGGAGGAGGAGGGAGGAGGAGGAGGGGGAGGAGGAGGAGGAGAGTAGGAGGCGGAGGAGGAGCAGGAGGAGGCGGAGGAGGAGGAGGAGGAGGAGGAGGAGGAGGAGGAGGAGGAGGATGAGGGGGAGGAGGGCCCCAGGGCCCCTTCAAATGCATCGCCCCCCCCAGCAGTTTGCGCCCAAGCGGGACCCGTCGGGAGGGCAGCTGCCAGAGAGCAGCTGCGCGGTCCTCCCGCACACGACCTTGCATCCTTCGAAGAGCACCAGCCTGCAACCCCGCGGCGGACCCTGGCCTTAAATCGGCCTTGTTTCTCTACAGGAGGAATATTCAAAACAAATCTTAAACGAACTGATATGGGGACGATTTTTGTGGTATGTTTATTTGTTGTCCAAAATCCCCCTGTAGGGGGACCGGCCCGACCGAACCCTGGCCCTGCCCCCCCAGCCCCCCCCCGCCAGCAGGAGCCCGCCCAGGCAGAACCAACCCAAAAACGACCGATAACGACATAAAACAACACGCGCGCAGTCAGTGGCAACGCGGACGGCCCCCGAGAGTCGTCACCTGGCCGAGCGGCTGGTTGTAGGCCCACCGGCGGTGTGCCCTGCGGCTTTTGGTTTCCAGCTTTCCCGTTTTCGGCCACGGAGGAGAACAAACACGGCAGCCCGACACCGAGAACAAACGGCAGTACACCACCGAACCGGACCGAACACGGCGCGAGCGAGAACCCCCGCGCGGAAAACAGCATGGACACTCAGACAGTGATATTTAGTTTCTTGGTAACGAACAAACATTTGTTTGTCATCATCGCAGGGTGTGCTTCCACCGAGGGAGGATGATCCCGACCTCAGTGATGGAGGTGATTCTGGTGCTTCTTAGGTGGCCGAAAGATCGCCGCCAACACCGAAATCTAGGATCATGCTTCCCTGGCGGAGGCAACACCCCCAGACCCCCGACGTCATGATGTTTTCATTACGTCGACCCCCAGAGGTCCCGACCCATTTCCCGGAACCGATTCTTTCTATCCTGAGTCCCCTGGGGTCTGGGCCCTGTGTCGGTGTTGGTGCTCGCTTCCACGCCTCCAGTGATGGGCGCCCGCGAGAAGACCATCTTCGCAATGCTGGGCGCGGTGGTGGACGTCTTCGAGAGCGCGGGTGTCGCGCACTTCCTGGACTACGGCTCCTCGGGCGACGACGACGACGACGACGACGACGACGACGACGACGACGACGACGACGGCGACGGCGACGACGACGACGACAACGTCAGAGCGAGAACGGCGCGGGGCGAGAACCCACGGAACGAGAGGGCAGAGGTCGGGGGCTATTGGACGTGCCACTGGCCCGGGGTGCCCCCAGGATCTGAGGAGGAACGTTTGGGGCTCGAGGCTCAAAGGTTTCGGGCGTTTTCGTCGGTGTCAGAAGGGAGTTCTGGCCTCGGGATGCCTTCTGGCGGCTGCGCCTCGCCGAGGGCGTCCTGGGGCTGCCCGGATCGTTCCGAAGGGCAGCCGGAGGCCCGCAGAGTGGGCCATAAGTACCGGTGCCCTTCCTCGTCTTCGCTTTTTTTGGCTTCCTGGGGAAGTAGGTGTTTCTGGATTCCCAGATTCCAGTATATTTCAAGCGCCGTCCTACATCAAGAACCGCAACGTGTTTGCTGTATCTTCTATTTTTTCTGCGAGCAGGATCCCGATCTACTTTATCCGGCTTCCTACTTCATGTTTCTACCTAGTTCTTCCGACTGGCAGGTGCCGTCGGTTCTGATTGGTAGCTCGACCGTGCCAAAGCGAGGATACCCTTGTGTCCTGTCCATCCCGACCTATGCAACCCGCATGTCCTTTGGTGTCACTGTCCTCTGCCCTCTTGGGTGTCTTTGCCGTCGGGAGAGTCTCGTGCCTTCTCGGGTGTCCTGTCCAATCAACCTTGAGATCCGGCAGCGAGAAACACTAGGAAATCGTGGGCCCTAGACACCATCTTGTTGCAACATATTTCGAGCTAGATCGATCTGTGAGGTTCCTGGCGCCCGAAACCTGACGAAAGCGCCCATCTCGAAACATTTGAGACGCCAGGATCTCAGGGATGTCCGACTGCAGTTCTCCCGAGTGGCGAGGATAGGTAGGTATCTCTTGGTCTTCACAGGGCCCTGGACATCTGTCGGTATGGGTTCTTCAATCAGCTTGGCATCGCTCGGACGTGTCCTTTTTTTCTCGGCGACGACCGTCGAGGACCGTCCTGGACCATCGAGCCAAAGAAACACGCGCGAAACCGGAAAATGCACCCGACATGGACGTCCGAGCGACGGCGAGCCAGCGGCCCCAGTAGGGGGCCACATGCGAGCCCTACCCCTGCCCCCCACGATTTCTGAGGGGGAGGGGGGGGCTCCCTTCGCCCGGGAGCTCCCGAGCGGAGTGAACCCCACCCTCCCCCCTCGGAAGTCGTGGGGGGTAGGGGGCAGGGCTCGCATGTGGCCCCCTACCCAGAGGTCCCCGACCCCCCTCGCCGGGGGTGTCTGTCTCGCCCCGGGCCAGTGTCTGAGGGCCTCCCTGGGCCCGGTCATGGGCCCCGAAGGCCGCAGTCCAGGCGCCACCTCCGGATGGAACAAGATTCAGGAGGGAAAAACACACACAGACACAATGAATCGTCGATTCCCCAGAAAATATGGGGAAATATGGGAAGTGAGGGGGAAGACAAAAACCCAGACAATGTGGAAAATTATGGGGCATCTTTTTGTTTGTGTGTATTTATTTGTGTGTCCCAGGGCCCCTTCAAAGATCAGGTCCTCGGATCTCTGGGCCTCTTGGTCTCCACAGGCTCTCGGAGGGCACCACCCGCTGTGCAGTGGGAGCCCATGCCAAGGCACGCCCTGCCTGCCTCCTGGGTGCCCATGGGGACTCCTTGCGTTGCGATGGCTTCGCTGACTATGGACAGCGTGACAGCTCTCGCGCTCAGCATCCAGGCCCAGACAGGCGACGTCCTGCTTTTTTTTCAGCACGGCGTCCCTGGAAGTCCCGACCCTTTCCCCGGGACCGGTTGTTCGTCCTGCGTCGTTGTTTGACGGTCCTGGGGCCCAGCGAGGGCCCCCCGGGGCCGAAAATTGTCAAAAACCTCCCGTCCGGATTTTGCTACGACGCGTTCATGTCTGGGTGGAGGTCCTGGGGCCTCAGGGTTGGGTCCTGGCCAGGCGCCCAGTGCGGGCCGAAGAGGGAGCGGTGCCCCCCGCGCGCCCCCCGCGGCGGGCCTGGGCAGGACGGCGCGCGCAGGCGCGCCGGCCCTCTGGGGAGGGGGCCAGCGCAGGCGTGCAGCGGAGGCCACTCCACAGGAAACCTTCCGCAAGAGACCCAGCCCTGGGTCCCAGACCCCCTCGAGTAATGAAAAAATCATGACGGGAGGTTTTTCCTACTTTTCGCCCTCTGGGGGCCCTCACCGGGCCTCGGGAGCGTCAAAAAACGATTCAGGATGCAAAGCCGGTCATGGGGAAAGGGTCGGGACCTCTGGGGGTCGACGTAATGAAAAAATCATTACGTCGGGGGTCTGGGGTGGAAGTCCCGGGGCCTCAGGGTTGGGTCTCTTGCGGAAGGTTTCCTGTGGAGTGGCCTCCGCCGCACGCCGGCGGCATTCCCCCGATCACGCCCGCCATCGCGAAGGAGAAAAACAACCGGCTCCAGGCTCTGCCCTCGGGGCCCATCGCCTCCGCGGGGTGCTGCCTGGCGACGCGGACGCGGACCTCGGCGTCCTCGCTGCCGACTACGCCCGCGCGGAGCGCGCCCTCCGCTCCGGGCTGCCGGGCTGGCTCGAGGTCTGCCTGCTGCCCCGCGAGGGGGCCTCCGAGCTCCAGCAGGTCTCGCAGCGGCCCAGAGGTCCGAGGATCCTCGACTTTTGTTTGCAGTCCGGCGGCTGTGCTCCTGGGCTTCGGCCTCCGTTATCGGGCCCGGGGGCCACCAGCAATGGATCCGGGACGAGAGGCCATGGAAAAGGGGTCGAGACCTCGAGGGCCGCGGATTCAAAACATGTGATCGGCGGACGTCTCGGGGGGCGCCAGCAGGGCTCCACGACGAGGGGGCCCTCGGAAGGAGAAGGGGAGCGGCAAAGGCATAGACTTTCGATGCTCCGCGCGGATTTCTTGGATCTGCGCTGGACCCCCCCCTTGCGGCGCCTCCAGCGCCGCCCCTGGCGCGCGCAGCGCGCCAGGGAGGGGGGTCCAGCGCCGATCCACGACATCCGCGCGGACCCCCGGTGCATCGGCGACGCCCCTCCTTCCAGGCCGAGTTGGAGGTCTGGGCTTCCTGCCCTCCGCAGAGGTCGTCGTGCGGCTCCGCGGCGGAGGCGCTTGCCACGACAAGCCGAACGTCGACGTCTACGGGTACGCCTGGCGCGCCGGCGGCGACGCGGGCGCCGCGGGCGGTGCGCAGGTCCGGGGCAGCCTTGGGGGGGGGTTACCGTCGGCCTTAATTGGTAGGTCGACCATGCCAAATCGAGGGTACCCTCGTATCCGGTCGAACTGTCTACTTGCTACTTCAAGAGCCGCTACGTGTTTGCTATATGTTGTGACCCTTTGTGCGGGCCCGAACCCGATCTACTTCATGCTTTTACCTGCTTCTTACGACTGGCAGGTGCAGCCGGCCCTGACTGGTAGGTCGACCATGCCAAAGCGAGGGTACCCTTGTGTCCTCTCTAACCCAACCTATGTAACCCGCATCCTGAGATCCTGGTGTCTCAAATTCTTTCGAGGCGGGCGTTTTCGTCAGGTTTCGGGCCCCATGGGGCCCTCACAGATCGATCCAGCTCGAAAAATGGCGCAGGAGGTTTTTCGCGCCTCTGGTCTCAGGGCATGTCCTCTGGTGTTCTGGTGTCAAGCTGCCGTCGAAAGAGTTTTGTTGCCGTCGAACGAGTCTTGTGTCCTCTCGGGTGTCCTGTCCAATCAAGTCCGACTGGGAGCTCAGGGGGACTGCATCGGTCGCCCCGTCCGCAGGGGCAACGCCAGGGGGGGAGTAGGGAGTACAGTCGAAATCGATGGCAAGGATAGGGCACCTTTCCAAGGGTACCCTTGCATCCGTGTCTCCTCGGTCCGTCCCAGACTGCTTTCGATGGCCCGCCGCGCTCGGAGAAGCGCCGGCACGGGCGTCCAAGCTCGCCGATGGCTCGCCCCGCCCAGGGCCGTGCTGTATCTTGCGACCGGGGCCGATCGCCGACCTTTTTTGGCGTTGTAAGTATCGCCGATTCCAGCTCGATGTCCCCCTCCTCCTCCTCCTCGCTCCTCCTCCTCCTCCTCCTCCTCCTCGCTCCTCCTCCTCCTCCTCCTCCTCCTCCTCCTCCTCCTCCTCGCCCCCCCCCCCCTCTGAGCCGATGCCCCCCCCAGTCGCAGACAGGGGACGTCCTGACCTTTTTTCAGCACAGGGCCCTCAGGAGTCGTGCCCCCCCCCCCTCCCCCCGAGCCGACCCCCCCCCCTCTGACCAGGCCTCGGAAGCCATGCCTCCGTCTCCCCGAAGGGCGGCTCCTCCTCCCGAGCCGTCTTTTGACGGGACCATGGGGTCCGGCGAGGGCCCCCCCGGGGGGCCGAGCACGGCCAGGGCCCGGAGGCGAGGGCAGCCGCCGTGGCGGGCGTCCCCGCTGCCGGGAAGCCACGGAGCATCAGAGAACTCGGGCGGGCGGTCAGGGCCTGGCATCGCTCGGACGTTGCGCATTTTTTCTGGGCGAGGACCCTCCAGGACCGTCCTGGACCATCGAGCCAAAAAAACACGCACGAGACCGAAACATGCACGGGAAATGGACGTCCGAGCGACGGCAAGAGGGGGGGGGTCTTGAGTGGGGGGTGAAGAGAAAGGGTTCGAGGTCTGAGGCTAAAGTGGTGAGGCCTTCGGACGTGCTCCTCGGGCGGGCGGCCACGGGGGTCGGCCTGAATGGGGCATGGAGAAAAGGGCTCGAGGTCTGAGGCTAAAGGTGTGAGGCCTTCGGACGTGTTCCTGGGGGGCGGGTGGCCACGGGGGTCGACGCGGGCGGGTGGCAACGGGGGTCGACCTGAATGGGGGATGGAGAAACGGGTTCGAGGTCTGAGGCTAAAGTGGTGAGTCATTCGGACGCGTTCCTCGAGCGGGAGGCAACGGGGGGCGATCCGAGTGGGGGGTAAGAGAAGGGCCCCAGAGGAGGAGGAGAGCGCGCCCGAGGCCGTCACAACCTGGACCTCAGACCTCGAGCCTCGAGCCTGGCATCTCGAGCTTCGATCCCCCCTGCTGCCGGTAGCCCCCCCATCCGCAGGGCGTGCTCGAGCGCGCGGACCTGGCGGACCGCAGGGGGCCGCACTACGGCGCCGTGGCGGCTCGGCTCGCACTGCCCGCGGGGTGCGCGTGCCTGGGCGGGCGCGGCAGCGACGGCGGCGCGCCGGGGGCCCGGGCATCCCCAGCGGACTGCCTTCGGCATGCGCCCGCGGGCTTCGCACCGCTGGGGCGTGTTCGGAGCAGAAGGAAACGCCACACGCAGAAACTTGTGGCGCTCCGAGCGGGGTTCTCGGATCCGCGCTGGAGCCCCCCTGGCGGCGGCATTTTTTCCCAGCGGGGGCCATCGAGGAGCACTGGTTGGGTCAGCGGGCAACGGAGACGCACGCGCGCGAAAGATCGAAGCATGCACAGGGGAATGGACGTCCGAGCGATGGCGGGAAGGGGCGACGCGCGCGCGCGCGCCGAGAAGTCTTCTGTGCGTGAGCTCCGTGGCGGGCGCGTTCTGGCCATGCCGCTCGGGAAGCGGTGTGCCACGGCTGGACCGGGGGTGTACAGTGAAACACCCCAATAAGGACGCGCGACTTTGCTCAGCGTACCCCTGCGTCCTTGCTCTTCCTTGCTCTTGCGTCCCTGAGGTTTTCGTCGTCCGCCGCCCCAAAAATCCCAACTTCGGCTTCCAAAGGTCTTGCGTCCTTACCGCGCGTCCGTATTAGGGTTTTTGACTGTAAGATCGAGGTCGGTTCAGGGAGGGTGCCCCAGTGTTCTTCGTGCTTGTTGGATGCTTTGTTGAAGCCTGTGGAGGGTCCCCCTGGTTGTTCCGTGTGCTGTAGCTGACAGAGGGTCTCGTGTTCTTGAGGGGTGCTCTCCCGGCCCAGGTCCGACTGTAGCATGAGTTCCGTGGCGGGAACCTTCTGGCCATTCCGCTGGCGGGATGATTATACAGTCAACCACGATAGTAAGGATGGGCAACCTTCCCAGGGGTACCCTTGCATCCCTGCCTTCTCGTTCCATCCTTCGCCGCTTTCGCTTGCCGCGCCCCGCTCGAAAAGCTTCGCAATGGGCCTCCAAGGCCCTTGCATCCTTATCGCGCATCCTTACTATACTGGTTGACTGTAGTTGCTGTATCGGGTCGGGCGCACGCCTCCAAGGAGGGCACATCGTACCAGCGTGCCCCTGTGCGTGTTTTGCGCATCCGGCGGACCGATTCTCTCGGGCGCCAGGCGCAGTGGGGCACCGCAGGGCTCACCCCGATTCCTCCCACTCGCTTCGACCATGTCTCGATCTGACTCCGATTCGGGTTTGGTACGACCTCGGGATTCCGTTCGGGCTCTCGGCTTCCCAGCAAAGGCCTCACTCGCCGGCCGATCTCCGCCGCTTCGGCCTCTCCCGGCCTGGCCGCCGACTCTTCCCGCCGGCCCGACTCGCTTCGATCGCCGACCCGGCCCCCTCGATCAGACTTCTAGGGCGGGGCCGGACCTGAACGGTGTCTAGTCGACTTCGTGGGCCGTTTTCGTTTCGGCTTCGTTGTGCGGCAAAGGCGGATCGAAGACAAAACCGAGGGAAAACGAAAACAAAACGAAAACGAGACACACCGTTCAGGTTCAGCCCTGTCCCAGGGCCCTCCTGGCACGCGTTCCCGGTCCTTGGGGCGTCCGCCCGTCTGCGTCGGCCACCGCCCCTGGTCCCTTTTTTGTGCCAGACAGGCTGGCTCTTCCCTGGTGCCCCTTTCCAGGGCTCAGAGGCGACGCAACAGGCGCGAATAGCCCAGGGGGGAGCAGCACATGTATCCAGGGGCGCCGATGATCGATGTCTTCGGCGAGACTCCCGGGCGAATGCGCGTAGTGCCCGCCCCTGGGCTGTTCGCTCTCATCGTCGCCGCCGCAGGGCTCGCTCTGCTGCATCTCCCTCCGCTGCAGCGCGAGGGTTTGCCCATCTCTCCTCCTCCTCCTCTTCCTCCTCCTCCTCCTCCTCCTCCTCCCCCTCCTCCTCCTCCTGGCACGCGTCCAGCCACGGCGTCGATCCGCGGAGCCGCTGTGCAGCTTGGAGCTCCCTCTCGGACCTGCGGGCCGCAGCAGCCCCGACGCGGCCCGAGGGGCAGCAGGCCTGCGAGGGCGGAAGCTGGAACATGTACACTACCAGTGTCAGGAGGGAACAAAAACACACAGAAACAATGAATCGTCGATTCCCCAGAAAATGCGGAAAATATGGGAAATGTCGGAAGTGTGGGGGAAGAAAGTTGTAAAATATGGGAAAGTATGGTGCATCCTGGGATTTGTGTGTATTTGTTTGTGTGTCACAGTGGCGGGCTGTTTTTCAGCTCCAGGACTTTGAGGGTCGGGGCCGACGTCCGGGTGGTGTGGTGCATCTTTGGTGCTCCGTTTCCCGGGAAGCAGCGAACAGCGTACATGCCAGGGTCCTGTATGCCAGGCATCCGCTGTCCCGTACAAGTGTCAGTGCAGGGCGGGAAAACGCGTCGGTCTATAGAGCGTGGTTCCCTGCGATGCGGCCGCGCCACGCGCTCGGGGCGTGACCCGGCCCCCTGAGCGGCTCGCTACCTCCGCCCCCCTTTTCGGCCGCGACCTCCTCCTGCTCCCCCCCCACTTGCACGGTGGCACGATTCTTCCCTAACGGCACACCTGTTCAGGCACTTCCGCTTGCGCAGGCTTCCCCTGCCTCGCTGCCGAGCACAAAGCTTCCCCGCGGGGGTCGCTCCCCAGGGCGGCGGGCGCGTGCCAGGCCGCCCTACAGGCGGACTTTTAGGGGAACAAAAAAGTGACATAAACATAGAAACTTGGAGGTCCGCGCGAATTTCTCCGACGATTCTTCCCTAACGGCACACCTGTTCAGGCACTTCCGCTTGCGCAGGCTTCCCCTGCCTCGCTGCCGAGCACAAAGCTTCCCCGCGGGGGTCGCTCCCCAGGGCGGCGGGCGCGTGCCAGGCCGCCCTACAGGCGGACTTTTAGGGGAACAAAAAAGTGACATAAACATAGAAACTTGGAGGTCCGCGCGAATTTCTCCGATCGGCGCTGGGGCCCCCCTCCGGCGCCTCCGGCGCCGCCCCTGGCGCGCTCCGCGCGCCAGGGAGGGGGGTCCAGCGCCGATCCGAGAAATCCGCGCGGACCTCCGCGCGAAGCGCGCCAGGGGCGGCGCTGGAGGCGCCGGAGGGGGGCCCCAGCGCCGATCCGAGAAATCCGCGCGGACCTCCGAGTTTCTATGTTCATGTCACTTTTTTGTTCCCCTAACTTTGGACGAAAAATGAAAAATACTCAACAAGGATACTTGGTCGTCCCCAGACTATTATTTGAATATTCCTCCTGTAGAGCGACATGCCCGCCGACTTAAAGATAGATGTTTGACCCCTGGCCAGGCTCAGGGGGCAACGTTCTTGGCTCGAGGCTCGAGGGTTTTTTTGGGCGTTCTCGTCGGTTTTGCATCACAAGGATCGGCAGCATTCCCAAGGTTACCCTCAGGAGGGGAAAACACAGACACAATGAATCGTCGATTTCCGAGAAGATATAGGAGAATATTGGAAGTGGAGGGGAAGACGAACATCCAAACAGTATGAGAACAGATGGGGAATCCTGATATTTGCATGTATTTATGAGTGCGTCTCTGGGCCCCTTCGTACCCTTGCATCCTTGCCTGCTCGGCCCACCCTTGTGGCCACTCTCCTTGGCCTTCGCCCTGTTCGAGAAGCTTCCACACGGCCTTCCAAGGCCCTTGCGTCCTCGTCGCGCGCCCTGACTATACGCGCTGACTGCAGGTGGCTTCCGAGCCTCGGGATGCCTTCCAGCGGCTGCGCCTCGCAGAGGGCGTTCCCGGGGCGCCCCTGGATCACCCCGAGCGGCCGCAGGAGGCCCGGGTGCGACCCGAGGTGGGGCGCATCAACCCCCAATCGCCCATTGGTCGCCGATAGGGGCCCGACAACCCCAAGCTGCCCAGGAGTGTGCGGATTCCCTATCGGGGGCCTATTGCCGATCTATCGGCGATGTATCGCCGATTCCAGGTCGATAGTTCCCCCCTGTGCCAGTCCCCCCCTATCGTTGCCCCTCATTTTTGGTTTGCCCCGAGTATCAGAGGATGAGAAGGTTGTCAAGTACCGATCCACCTGCCCTTCCCTCGGTGTCGCCTGGTGTGGGGCCTTCTGGGAGGCCCTCGTCGCCACGGCTGGGTTCGCCCCGCCATTCTGGTCGGGGCGCACCCCGGGAGGAGCCCGTTTAGTAGCAGTGTCGGTATCTTTGCTGCCCCCAATGGTGCTTCCTTCCTGTCGGACCCTGGGGGTCAGGGGCAACATTAGGGGAGGGCATGCGCTCAAGGGGGGGGTGCATCAACACCGAGACGCCCATGGATCGCCGATGGGGGCCCGATGGCCCAACCCGCCCAGGAACGCTCGGATCCGCCATCGGGAGCCTGGCGCAGATCTATCGGCGATGCATCGCTGCTTCCAGCTCGTTGGTTCCCCTCCCCGAGTCTCCCCTTGATTTGTTTGGTGTGCAGTTCGCTTTGCATCGACCGCACGTACAGCAACCCGCATAGTAAGGATGGGCAACCTTCCCAAGGGTACCCTTGCATCCCTGCCTCCTCGGTCCATCCTTCACCGCTTTCGCTGGCCGCGCCCCGCTCGAAGAGCTTCGAAGTGGGCGCCCAAGGCCCTTGCATCCTCATCGCGCATCCTTACTGTACTGGTTGACTGTAGGCCTCGACAGGGCCTCGCGACCGCCAGCGCTGCGACCAGAGCAGCTCCCCTCCTTGTCGGCCCCTGGGGGGCCGCCTTGGGGCCCAGGGGCCACCGCGCATGCCTCCGGGATGGAGAGCAGCCACCGGCCAAGTGATGGGTGTATCGGAGGGCCGCGGATTGGAGCATAGAACAGCAGACACAGTTGAAGCATGCTTTAGAACACGAAACCG